TTTGATGAAAGTTAAAAATTTGTCTGTGAGGACAAGAGTCAACGTGTCGAGAGTTTTGTAAACAATACAAGTCGTTGTTTATGTTTATGTTAATAGGTAAACAACCAGTGTTGCCACCTCCACAACTTACCCTGCCTAGTGTTGCCATCTCCACAACTTACCCTGCCTAGTGTTGCCACCGGTCCAACAACTTACCCGCCTAGTTTGCCACCTCAACAACTTACCCTGCCTAGTGTTGCCACCTTTCCCCAACTTTTCCCTGCCTAGTGTTGCCACCTCCACAACTTACCCTGCCTAGTGTTGCCACCTCCACAACTTACCCTGCCTAGTGTTGCCACCTCCACAAGTTACCCTGCTTAGTGTTGCCACTCACAACTACCTGCCTAGTGTGCCACTCACAACTTACCGCTAGTGTTGCCATCTCCACAAGTTAAACCTGCTTAGTGTTTGCCACACTCACAACTTTTCCCGCTATGTTGCCACCTCCACAACTTACCTGCTAGTGTTGCCATCTCCACAAGTTACCCTGCTAGTGTTGCCACCTCCACAACTTACCCTGCCTAGTGTTGCCATCTCCACAACTTACCCTGCCTAGTGTTGCCACCTCCACAACTTACCCTGCCTAGTGTTGCCATCTCCAGAACTTACCTGCTAGTGTTGCCATCCTCCACAACTTACCCTGCCCAGTGTTGGCCTCACACCCAGAACTTTACCCTCCTAAGTGTTTGCCATCTCCACAATTACCCTGCCTAGTGTTGCCATCTCCACAACTACCTGCCAGTGTTGCCATCTCCACAACTTACCTGCCTAGTGTTGCCATCCCAAAACAACTTACCATGCTATGTAGCCATCTCCACAACTCACTTGCTATGTTGCTCCTCACAAATCAATTGGAAACTATGTTGCTAGCTCCACAACTTAACCTGAAAATGTATTGTCACGACGTCCCTCTTGACCAGTTGTTGTACTTCACACTCGATACCTTGACCAGTGTTGCTACCTCCACAACTCACCTTGACCATGTTGCTACGCTCCACAACTCACCTTTTTGACCTAGTGTTGCACCTCCTCATCACCTTGACCAGTGTTGCCAGACACGAGGGTATACTCAGCATCAGGGGGGAGTGCAGAGACTGCATCGTACAGCTCCTGCAGAAAATAAATTATGTGATACTATGTTATTTAGCTCACACAGGTTAGTGTTACTAAAACTGTTACTGTTGTTACTGTTACTGCTACTGTTGTTACGGCTTCTCTTGTTGCTACTCTTACTGCTATTGTTGCTACTGTTACTGCTACTGTTGATACTACTGTTACTGCTACTGTTGTTACTGCTGCTGGTGTTACTACTGTTGCTGCTACTGTTACTATTGTTACTGCTGCTGGTGTTACTACTGTTGCTGCTACTATTGTTACTATTGTTACTGCTACTGCTATTACTGCAACTCTTGTTACTACTGCTACTGTTGTTACTTCTGTTATTGCTACTTTTGTTACTGCTACTGTTACTGATGTTTCCTACTGTTAACAGTACGTTTATATACTGCTGCTGCTGTTTTACCGTTGCTTCTGTTACTGATACTGCCGTTCCTACTGATATTATTTCTCAGACTTATGATTATAGACCTGTGTCTCACACCTGTGAGACACAGGTCTCACAGGTGTGTGATTTCCCCATTCCTCTCCTTTTCTTCCCGTTTCTCAGTTTCTCACTTATTCCAATCTATCATGAATAAGAAAAATGAGAAATCAACAATCATCCGATCGTTCTTAAGTGGTGGGAATTACGGCTCAGTAATTGCTGTTAATGGAATGTTAATTAATGTTACTAAATAGTAATTGATAATTGATATTTTATGGGAAATGATATTAGGTGGTTGGGAGCTGGTCAGATGTTACATGAGAGGGATTTTTAAGTATTTTGAAGTGTAAATGTTGTGGCTAGTGTGGCTGGGCGTAGCTGGCGTGGCTGGCGTGGTTGGCGTGTCTGGCTACATTTGTACGTTACGATAGATGGTAAGGTGTGGTAATCACCTGCAGAGTAGCGGGTTGTTGCCAGTTGGAAGCCTGCAGGCGTAGCGTCTGTGGTTGGCGCTGCTGGGGTCGTTCACGTCTCTCCTGCCGGGTGATAAGTTTATTCAGCGCGAGGCCAAAACAGGGGAGACACTGATCAGTGCTATCTTTGTTTATTAAAGAAATTTTTCGCCCATTGGGGTTTAGGTTGGGTTAGGTTAGATTAGATTAGATTAGATTCGATTAGATTAGGTTAGGTTAGGTTAGGTTAGGTTAGGTTAGGTTAGGTTAGGTTAGATTAGGTTATGGTAGGTTACGTTAGGTTACGTTAGGTTAGATTAGATTAGATTAGATTAGATTAGGCTAGGTTAGGTTAGGTTAGGTTAGATTAGGTTAGGTTAGAGTAGGTTAGGTTAGGTTAGATTAGGTTAGGTTAGGTTAGTAGGTTAGGTTAGGTTAGATTAGGTTAGGTTAGGTTAGGTTAGGTTAGGTTAGATTAGGTTAGATTAGGTTAGGTTAGGTTAGGTTAGGTTAGATTAGGTTAGGTTAGGTTAGGTTTGATTAGGTTATGTTAGGTTAGGGTTTTTAGGTTGTAGATTAGGTTAGATTAGGTTAGATTAGGTTGGTTAGGTTAGTAGTTAGGTTAGGTTAGGTTAGGTTAGGTTAGGTTAATTAGGTTAGGTTAGGTTAGATTAGGTTAGGTTTGGTTAGGTTAGTTAGGTAGTAGGTTAGGTTAGATTAGGTTAGATTAGTTAGTAGGTTAGGTAGGTTAGGTTAGTTAGGTTAGGTTAGGTTAGGTTAGGTTAGGTTAGGTTATTAGTTGATTAGTTAGATTAGTGTAGTTAGATTAGGTTTAGTTAGGTTAGTAGTTGGTAGTTAGATGAGGTTAGGTTAGGTTAGGTTAGATTAGGTTAGGTTACGTTAGGATTAGGTTAGGTTAGGTTGTTAGATTAGGTTAGGTTAGGTTAGTTAGGTAGGTAGGTAGTTAGGTTAGTTAGGTAGGTTAATTAGGTTAGGTTAGGTTGGAGTTAGGTTAGGTTAGATAAGGTAGTTAATTAGGTTAGGTTAGGTAGGTTAGTTAGTTAGTTAGGTAGGTTAGTAGGTTAGGTTAGGTTAGGTTAGGTTAGTTAGTTAGTAGAGTTAGTTAGGTTAGGTTAGTTAGTTAGTATTAGGTTAGGTTAGGTTAGTTGGTTAGGTTAGTAGTTAGGTTAGGTTAGGTTAGATTAGTTAGTTAGGTTTAGGTTAGTTAGTTAGATTATGGTTAGTTAGGTTAGGTTAGTTAAGTTAGGTTAGGTTAGTTAGGTTAGATTAGATTAGTTAGTTAGGTTAGGTTAGTTAGGTTAGTAGGTTAGGTTAGGTTAGGTGGTAGGTTAGTTAGGTTAGTTAGGTTAGTTAGTAGGTTAATTAGGTTAGGTTAGTTAGGTTAGGTGTTAGTTAGTTAGGTTAGTTAGGTTAGGTTAGTTAGGTTAGGTAGGTAGGTTAGATAGGTTAGTTAGGTTAGGTTAGGTTAGGTAGGTTAGTAGGTTAGTTAGGTTAGGTTAGTTAGGTAGGTTAGTTAGGTAGGTTAGGTTAGGTTAGGTTAGTAGTAGTTGGTTAGGTTAGGTAGTTAGGTTAGGTTAGTTAGGTTAGGTTAGGTAAGGTTAGTTGTTAGGTAGGTTAGGTTAGGTTAGGTTAGGTTAGGTAGGTTAGGTTAGGTTAGGTTAGGTTAGGTTAGGTTGGTTAGGTTGGTTGTTAGGTTAGGTTAGGTAGTTAGGTTAGGTAGGTAGTTAGGTAGGTTAGTTAGTTAGTATTTAAGGTAGTTAGGTTAGGTTAGGTTAGGTTAGGTTAGGTTAGGTTAGGTTAGGTAGGTTAGGTTAGGTTAGTTAGGTTAGTTAGGTTAGGTTAGTTAGTTAGGTTAGTTAGGTTAGTTAGGTTAGGTTTAGGTTAGGTTAGGTTAGTTAGTAGGTTAGGTTAGGTTAGGTTAGGTTAGGTTAGGTTAGGTTAGTTAGGTTAGTTAGGTTAGGTTAGGTTAGGTTAGGTAGGTTAGGTTAAGTTAGTTAGGTTAGGTTAGGTTAGTGAGGTTAGGTTAGAGTTAGGTTAGGTTAGGTTAGGTTAGTTAGGTTAGGTTAGTTAGGTTAGGTTAGGTTAGGTTAGGTTAGGTTAGGTAGGTTAGGTTAGGTTAGGTTAGGTTAGGTTAGGTTAGGTTAGGTTAGGTTAGGTTAGGTTAGGTTAGGTTAGGTTAAGATTAGGTTAAGGTTAGTTAGGTTAGGTTAGGTAGGTTAGTTAGGTTAGGTTAGGTTAGGTTAGTTAGGTTAGGTTAGGTTAGGTTAGGTTAGGTTAGGTTAGGTTAGGTTAGGTTAGGTTAGGTTAGGTAGGTTAGGTTAGGTTAGGTTAGGTTAGGTTAGGTTAGGTTAGGTTAGATTAGGTTAGGTTAGGTTAGGTTAGGTTAGGTTAGGTTAAGTTAGGTTAGGTGACTCACTGTACATGACCCCTACACTATATAGATTATTTTCACCACGTATTTACTGGGTTCCTCTTCATTATCTTCTAGTTCACCTCGTCTCTGTCTCAGTCTGACAACATAGTCCTCCAGGACGTAACGAAACTCACTTAAGCTTCTCTCCAAAGTGTGTCTTAAATATACCCATATTAACAACATAAACATATTAACAATATAACCACATAAATATAACCATATAAACAAGGCCGTTTCCCACCGAGGCTGGATGATCTAAAAAGAAAAAGGAAAGTTTCTCTTTTTAACAGGAGAAGGGGGTTACTAGCCCCTTGCTCCTGGTATTTTAGTCGACTCTTACAACACGCATGGCTTATGGATGAAGGATTCCGTTCCACTTCCCCATGGAGGTAAGAGGAAATAAACAAGAACAAGAACTAGTAAGAAAATAGAAGAAAACCCAGAGGGGTGGGTGTATATATGCTTGTACATGTATGTGTAGTGTGACCTAAGTGTAAGTAGAAGTAGCAAGACGTACCTGAAACCTTGCATGTTTATGAGACAGAAAAAAGACACCAGCAATCCTGCCATCATGTGAAACAATTACAGGTTTTCGTTTTACACTCACTTGGCAGGACGGTAGTACCTCCCTGGGTGGTTGCTGTATACAAACCTACTACCACAGGACGGTAGTACCTCACTGGGTGGTTGTTGTCTACCAGCCTACTATCACAGGACGGTAGTACCTCTCTGGGTGGTTGCTGTCCACCAACCAACACAGGACGGTAGTACCTCCCTTGGTGGTTGCTGTCCACCAACCTACTACCACAGGACGGTAGCATCTCCCTGGCTGGTTGCTGTCTACCAACCAACACAGGACGGTAGTACCTCCCTTGGTGGTTGCTGTCCACCAACCTACTACCACAGGACGGTAGCACCTCCCTGGGTGGTTGCTGTCTACCAACCTACTACCACAGGATGGTAGTACCTCCCTGGGTGGTTGCTGTCTACCAACCTACTACCACAGGACGGTGGTACCTCCCTGGGTGGTTGCTGTCTACCAACCTACTACCACAGGACGGTAGTACCTCCCTAGGTGGTTGCTGTCTACCAGCCTACTATCACAGGACGGTAGTACCTCTCTGGGTGGTTGCTGTCCACCAACCTACTACCACAGGACGGTAGTACCTCCCTGGGTGGTTGCTGTCTACCAACCAACACAGGACGGTAGTACCTCCCTTGGTGGTTGCTGTCCACCAACCTACTACCACAGGACGGTAGCACCTCCCTGGGTGGTTGCTGTCTACCATCCTACTACCACAGGATGGTAGTACCTCCCTGGGTGGTTGCTATCTACCAACCTACTACCACAGGACGTTAGTACCTCCCTGGGTGGTTGCTGTCTACCAACCTACTGCCACAGGACGGTAGTACCTCCCTTGGTGGTTCCTGTCTACCAACCTACTACCACAGGACGGTAGTACCTCCCTGGGTGGTTGCTGTCTACCAACCTACTACCACAGGACGGTAGTGCCTCCCTGGGTGGTTGCTGTCCACCAACCTACTACCACGGGACGGTAGTACCTCCCTGGGTGGTTACTGTCAATCAACCTACTACCACAGGACGGTAGTACCTCCCTGGGTGGTTGCTGTCCACCAACCTACTACCACAGGACGGTAGTACCTCCCTGGGTGGTTGCTGTCTACCAACCTACTACCACAGGACGGTAGTATCTCCCTGGGTGGTTGTCTACCAACCTACTACCACAGGACGGTAGTACCTCCCTGGGTGGTTGTCTACCAACCTACTACCACAGGACGGTAGTACCTCCCTGGGTGGTTGCTGTCCACCATCCTACTACCACAGGACGGTAGTACCTCCCTGGGTGGTTGCTGACCACCAACCTACTACCACGGGACGGTAGTACATCCCTCGGTGGTTGCTGTCTACCAACCTACTACCACAGGACGGTAGTACCTCCCTGGGTGGTTGCTGTCTACCAACCTACTACTACAGGACGGTAGTGCCTCCCTGGGTGGTTGCTGTCCACCAACCTACTACCACGGGACGGTAGTACCTCCCTGGGTGGTTGCTGTCTACCAACCTACTACCACAGGACGGGTTGCTGTGCACCAGCCTACTACCACAGGACGGTAGTACCTCCCTGGGTGGTTGCTGTCTACCAACCTACTATCACAGGACGGTAGTACCTCCCAGGGTGGTTGTCTACCAACCTACTACCACAGGACGGTAGTACCTCACTGGGTGGTTGTCTACCAACCTACTACCACAGGACGGTAGTACCTCCCTGGGTGGTTGTCTACCAACCTACTACCACAGGACGGTAGTACCTCCCTGGGTGGTTGCTGTCCACCAACCTACTACCACAGGACGGTAGTACCTACCTGGGTGGTTGTCTACCAACCTACTACCACAGGACGGTAGTACCTCCTTGGATGGTTGTCTGCCTACCTACTACCACAGGACGGTAGTACCTCCCTAGGTGGTTGCTGTCCACCAACCTACTACCACAGGACGGCAGTACCTCCCTGGGTGGTTGCTGTCTACCAACCTACTACCACAGGACAGTAGTACCTCCCTCGGTGGTTGCTGTCTACCAACCTACTACCACAGGACGGTAGTACCTCCCTGGGTGGTTGTCTACCAACCTACTACCACAGGACGGTAGTACCTCCCTGGGTGGTTGCTGTCCATCAACCTACTACCACAGGACGGTAGTACTTCCCTGGGTGGTTGCTGTCAACCAACCTACTACCACAGGAAGGTAGTATCTCCCTGGGTGGTTGTCAACCAACCTACTACCACAGGACGGTAGTGCCTCCCTGGGTGGTTGCTGTCCACCAACCTACTACCAAAGGACGGTAGAACCTCCCTGGGTGGTTGTCTACCAACCTACTACCACAGGACGGTAGTACCTCCCTGGGTGGTTGTCTACCAACCTACTACCACAGGACGGTAGTACCTCCCTAGGTGGTTGTGTACCAACCTACTACCACAGAACGGTAGTACCTCCCTGGGTGGTTGTCTACCAACCTACTACCACAGGACGGTAGTACCTCCCTGGGTGGTTGTCTACCAACCTACTACCACAGGACGGTAGCACCTCCCTGGGTGGTTGTCTACCAACCTACTACCACAGGACGGTAATACCTCCCTGGGTGGTTGTCTACCAACCTACTACCACAGGACGGTAGTACCTCCCTGGGTGGTTGCTGTCTACCAGCCTACTACCACAGGACGGTAGTACCTCCCTGGGTGGTTGCTGTCTACCAACCTACTACCACAGGACGGTAGTACCTCCCTGGGTGGTTGCTGTCTACCAACCTACTACCACAGGACGGTAGTACCTCCTGGGTGTTGCTGTCACCAACCTACTACCACAGGACGGTAGTACCTCCTGGGTGGTTGCTGTCTACAACCTACTACCACAGGACGGTAGTATCCCCTGGGTGGTTGTCTACCAACTACTACCACAGGACGGTAGTACCTCCCTGGGTGGTTTGTCTACCCAACCTACTACCACAGGACGGTAGTACCTCCCTGGGTGGTTGTCTTCCAACCTACTACCACAGGACGGTAGTACCTCCCTGGGTGGTTGCTGTCCACCAACCTACTACCACAGGACGGCAGTACCTCCCTGGGTGGTTGTCTACCAACCTACTACCACAGGACGGTAGTACCTCCCTGGGTGGTTGTCTACCAACCTACTACCACAGGACGGTAGTACCTCCCTGGGTGGTTGTCTGCCAACCTACTACCACAGGACGGTAGTACCTCCCTAGGTGGTTGCTGTCCACCAACCTACTACCACAGGACGGCAGTACCTCCCTGGGTGGTTGTTGTCTACCAACCTACTACCACAGGACAGTAGTACCTCCCTGGGTGGTTGCTGTTCCACCACAACTTATACACAGACGCGCAAATAACCTCCTTGATGGGCTGTTACCAGCCTACTACCACAGTGACGGTAGACCGCCCTAGGTGGTTGTCTACAACATACTACCACAGACGTAGTTAATTGATCCTGGGTGGTTGTGTCCACCAACTTCTGTATACCTACAGGAGTTAGTGCCTCGGGTGGTTGCTGTCACCAAACCTACTACATCGGGACGGAGTTGTACTTCCCTGGTTCGGTGATATATGTTTCTACCAACTACTAACCACGGGACGGTCACGTACCATCCCTGGTTGGTTGCTGTCCATCAACATACTACCACAGGGACTGGTAGTACTTCCCTGGATGGTGCTGTCTACCAAACCGAAATACCAAGGACGGTGTATCTCCTGGGTGGTTGTCAACCAACCTACATACCACAGGACGGTTAGTGCCTCCCTGGGTTTGTGTCTACCAACTACTACCACAGGGCGGTAGTACCTCCCTGGGTGTTGGTTGCTGTTCACCAACTACTACCACGGCGGTAGTACCTCCTGGGTTGTCTACCAACCTACCACAGGACGGAGTACCTCCCTAGGTGGTTGTGTACCAACCTAAATTCCACAGGACGGTAGTACCCCCGCGGAGGGTGCTGTCTACCGCCTTTCTACCACAGGACGTTGTAACTCCCTTGGTGTTTGTGTCTACCAGCCTACTACCACAGGACGGTAGTACCTCCCTGGGTGGTTGCTGTCTACCAACCTACTGCCACAGGACGGTAGTACCTCTCTAGGTGGTTGCTGTCCACCAACCTACTACCACAGGACGGTAGTACCTCCCTGGGTGGTTGCTGTCTACCAGCCTACTACCACAGGACGGTAGTACCTTCCTGGGTGGTTGCTGTCTACCAGCCTACTACCACTGGACGGTAGTACCTCCCTGGGTGGTTGCTGTCCACTAACCTACTACCACAGGACGGTAGTACCTCTCTAGGTCGTTGCTGTCCACCAACCTACTGCCACAGGACGGTAGTACCTCCCTGGGCGGTTGCTGTCCTGCAGCCTACTACCACAGGACGGCAGTACCTCCCTGGGTGGTTGTCTACCAACCTACTACCGCAGGACGGCAGTACCTCCCTGGGTGGTTCCTCTCTATCAACCTACTACCACAGGACGGCAGTACCTCCCTGGGTGGTTGCTGTCTACCAACCTACTACCACAGGACAGTAGTACCTCCCTGGGTGGTTGCTGTCCACCAACCTACTACCACAGGACGGCAGTACCTCCCTGGGTGGTTGCTGTCCACCAACCTACTACCACAGGACGGCAGTACCTCCCTGGGTGGTTGCTGTCTACCAACCTACTACCACAGGACAGTAGTACCTCCCTGGGTGGTTGCTGTCCACCAACCTACTACCACAGGACAGTAGTACCTCCCCGGGTGGTTGCTGTCCACCATCCTACTACCACAGGACAGTAGTACCTCCCTGGGTGGTTGTCTACCAACCTACTACCACAGGACAGTAGTACCTCCCTGGGTGGTTGCTGTCCACCATCCTACAACCTAACAATGTAGCTATATAAACAATATAACGCAGTCATATAAACCAACCTTGTTCTTGGTGGAAGTACAGCAGCCCTGACAGGCTCGACCTGTGCTGGGACACTTCACTGTGTGGATGTCCTACAAAAAACACAACAGAAGCACAATATTAATTTGTTAATTTATTGTGTCCTGTAATTTCATTTCCTTTTTAATTCGTGTATATGCCCCTTTTAAAAGATATTTATAGTGGGGTGAATGTTGCATCGTCTGCCAAATCTTTTGCTTTCGTTGTGAGTGATTTTCGTGTGCATGTTCGGTACTAGTCCCTCTAGGATTTTCCAGGTGTATATAATAATGTATCTCTCCTGTACTCCTGGAACGCAGGCGGGAGAGATACACGATTATATACTCCTGGAAAATCTTAGAGAGACTAGTACCGAACTTGCACACGAAAATCACTCACAACGAAAGCAAAAGACTTGGCAGACGATGCAACATCCCCCCAATGAAAAGCAGGGGTGTCACTAGCACGTTAAGAGAAAATACAATAAGTGTCAGGGGCCCGAGACTGTTCAACTGCCTCCCAGCATACATAAGGGGGATTACCAACAGACCCCTGGCAGTCTTCAAGCAGGCACTGGATAAGAACCTAAAGTCGGTACCTGACCAGCCGGGCTCTGGCTCGTACGTTGGATTGCGTGCAGCCAGCAGTAACAGCCTGGTTGATCAGGCTCTGATCCACCATGAGGCCTGGTCAAAGACCGGGCCGCGGGGGCGTTGACCCCCGGAACTCTCTCCAGGTAAACTCCAGGTAATGCTGGAAGATGAAGTGGTTGAATGCCCGTTTTAAGACACCTGTTGTCCCTGGTCACCATTAGTAAAATGGGTACCTGAGTGTTAGTCAACAGGTGTGGGTCGCATCCTGGGGGACAAAATTTACCTAATTTGCAGGAAATACTCTACATAACAAGTGACTTTCTATATAGTAGTATGTTATTGATGTCAGCTATGGTCTGTATACATTGTACTTGTACTTGTAGTAAAAAATATATTATTATTATTATTATTATTATTATTATTATTATTATTATTATTATTATTATTATTATTATTAACACTGATAATGGGTTTGGTGAATATTTTTGTTAGTTGGTTTGGGCTTGAGAAGGACCTGCCAAGTATGGGCCAGTAAGCCTCCTACAGTAGTTCTCCTTTCTTATGTTGTTTTTTTGTATCACACTCAGACGGTAGTTAGTGTATTGTACCACCCGAGCAGCTAGTTTGCTCAACACCCCGTCTTTATAACGTACAAGAAAGGACAATGGTTTCTCTCAGGCCCCACTAGGCTTAGTTACAGCTTGAACAATATTACGGCCGTTTCATGCAATACAAGTTTCATTACATACTTCATCTGCTCAACACAATGTTAAGATGTCAGAGTCTCAAGAAGATTCCAGCGTCTTATCATTACCACTAAAAAATATGAAAATGGATCCAGTAAAAAAGTCGCAGAAAAAAAGTCACTACTTGCCTAATACACTTTTTTCACAGTAACTTTTTTTCCTAGCCAAAATTATGATTTATTTTCTGACTTCCGGACACCCAAAAAAAAACATGGATGGTGACGTACCTCAATATCCTGAGTAGTAACAGCCTTGAAGGCATCAAGGATGGGTCTGTAGCCGGTACATCGGCATATAGAACCGTCCAGGTGTTGCTCTACCTCCTCCTTGGTCCAGGAGCTCTGGCTCTGCGTCAGTCTGTATGGATGGTTAGTGGGGTTTACAGCTTATCTACTACACGAGGGTCACTAAGGCTACACATCACCTGTGCACCACCAGGCAAGAATGCTTCAATACTGACTGATGTGGGTCACATCCTGGGTACAAAATTAACCTAAGTTGCACGAAATGCTCTGCATAACCAGGGGCTTTCTATATAATGTCACTGGCAACAGCTATGGTCTGTATAAGTTGCATCATGTGCTTTAATAATAAAGATTATTATTACCTACAATAGGGATTAAGTGCCTTTTTTTTGGTTATTTATATGGATTAAGGTAAACTCCCAACGTATTTCCACTGAGTGACATCGCTATTTTCCCTCGGAATACGACTGCCTGTCATTCCCCAGGCGCTGTATGACCCCCTCCCCCTCAACTCAAAACAATGACTCCAGGTGAAGGAATAGGTAAATAACTCACCCATACATAGCCATGACCATGCCAGGAGAGCAGTAACCACACTGAGTGCCACTGTACTCTCTGAGACGCTGTTCAATGACGTGGTAACCATCATGTTTGTTACCCAGACCCTCTATGGTGGTCACCTCTGACCCCAGACACGACAGTACTGGCACCAGGCACTGTGGGAGCAAATATATCAACGGTGTTAACAGGGTTATCAAAGTTTATTGCTTGACTAGCATTGAAAATGGGTAGGGCTAACAAAAATATTTACCAACCTATTTTAAATGCTGCTATGCTGACAAGTATGTTAATATGATATAAAATGGTTTAGGGTGGAAATAAGGCCTTTTGTCTGACCTTTTATGGGTGGTTATCCTCTGTAATTTCCACACAGGTTACTGTGTAAGACAGCTGTAATCACCGG